TTGAGTGTGCTGTGGCCTGGTCACCTGAGTTGCTGTGCAGTGGTGTCCCTTGCCCTTCTGAGATAAGTAGAAGGCCCTGGGGCCAGTGCTTCTCTTCCCATTGTCCTGTCTGAGGGTTATCAACTTTACCGATCTTCCCAAAGAACGGGCTTTTGATTTCATTGGTGTTTATTTTTCTGTTTTCTGTTTTGGTCTTTATATTTCCTTTTCTTTGGCTTACTGTGGTTTGAGGTTGAAGTTTTTTTACATTAGAAATGGAGTCATTTATTCAAGGCCTTTTATCTAAGGGCAGCCTTCAGTGCTTTGTCTTCTAGGTCATAGTGGTGTTCGCAGGATGGTGCTTTCCGTTTCCATTCCTTCTGAAATATATCCCGTTTCCTTTTCTTGGCTTCTTTCATAGGTGGGTTACTCACAGGTGTGCGGTTGTTTCCCAGAGATGTTTTGGTCATTTCCATGAGCTCCCATGGTAGGTACCTGCTCTGTGACACATATTCTTCTGAGTATGCAGGCCTTTTGGGCCTTGAGTTGCCTCAGTGGGTATTCTACACGGGGGCGAGAATGTGTGTGTCCCAGTTGGGTGGGTTGTTCTGTAAGTGTGGGTACTGTTTTAAAATGGATTTAAAGCTGTACTTTTGCTGATTTTCTGTCTGCTGCTCTCAGATTTTAGCAGCAGTGTGTTGTAATTGTCAGTCACATTGGGGACTTGTTTCCTCACTGTTAGTTTTTGCTTTGTGAATTTTGTGGCCTTGTTATTAGGTGTGTCAGAGTTTATAAGTGCTCATTTTTTGAATTTACCACCTTATTGTTACCATGGAACACCCTTTACCATCTCTCATTAGTGTTCTTTGCTATGAAATCTACTCTGTCTGATGTTACGGTGGCTGCTCTGGCTTCCTTTGGACCATGGCTGGCATGGTATTTTTGCTTTCCACCATTTACTCCCTGCCCATCTGTGTCTTTATTTTTAAGATGAGTTCTTCATGGGCCACGTGGGATTTTAAAAATTAAACAGACACCCCTGCCTTTGGACTGGAGTTGTACTCCCCAGGTTGGAGTGTTCTCCCCATGTCTGTCTCATTGTTCTTTGTTCCCTGATAGGCGATTGCCCCCTGTTTTGGTCTAATGTAGTAATTTTTTTATTCTCTCATATTTCCTTGATAGCATATCTGGGGCACTTGTGTTACCTTGATTTTCCCCGGGTCACATGCACACCTTCATACCCATCCCCTTCAACTTCAGGCCACCTGCTTCCCAGGGTGTAGGGATCTCGGCAGAGCCAATGCATTTCTCCTCTCCTGGCTTCTTATTAACATCTACCTATGTTACAAGCTTACGATACATGGTTACAGTGTGTGATTAAGTAGCTGTCTTTCTAAGGGGTCTCAGTAAAACCATCATATTCACCCCAGAAGTTACCATGTCATTCCTGCCTGAAGGAAGTATGGGTGTGTGGGTGGGGATTACTGGCTTTTTCGTTTCTTGCAGATGCCCTCCTTTCATCTTTGTCTTTGGAAGGTAAGTGCATGGTTGGCTTTTTAATAAAAGTTCAGTCCTGTAAAGTCCTGTCGTTCTTTTGGATTCTTTTGTTTGTTTTGTTGTTGTTTATTTGTTTTTGTCTTTGTTTTTTTGGTCGTGCTACTGAGGATTAAAACCAGGGAGTGCTGAGCTATACATCCTAACCACCCTTTTTATAGATTTTTAAAATTTTGAGACAGTGTCTCTCAGTTGCCCAGGCTGGGCTCAAACTTGCAGTTCTCCTGGCTCAGCCTCCTGAGTAGCTGGGATTGCAGGTGTGCACCAGCATGCCAGGCTGTCTCTTTCGATCTCCATTTTGTAGAGTTCTCTTACCGAATGTCAAGCTCACAGCTCCTGCTCTCTGCAGTGTCTCTGCTGTCGTCCCATCCAGCAGAGTTCTCATCTCAGACACTGTAGTTTCCATCTCCACAGTTTGTTTCGGGGCCCCACCTTATCTCTTTGCGCCTTTAAATGTGAGACCCACCTGGGATGATGCTGTGGGAGTTTGCTGTGGGTTTTTGTGGCCTGGTCAGGGCTGGCCTGTCTCAGTGGATGGATGATTCTAGTTGTTAGAGTTCATCCTCAGCATTTTGGGTGCCATAGATTGAAATTACCTATTTGGATACTGAATGCATTAATTCCTGTAAAATTTTAACCTTGTTCTGGGATGCAGATAGATTACTTGGAAATACTTGGATCCTTGTGGCGTTTCTGTTTATGGTTTTTTTAGGTGGGTCCATAGCAGGGCTTAGGCTAGGGCTGGTTTCCCTGTCGCAGTAGTCAGGCCTTCCACAAGACGAGTGCCTTACGAATTCAGGATTTCCTGACCACGGGTCGGAACAGGGCTGCTCCTAGCCAGATGTGAGCCCCAGGCCTTTTCCTTTGAACCTGCAGTCTGCTAGGTTTTTGGGGACTTCTCTGTGCTGAGGGCTCTTCTCCCTACCACTCTGCTCTGCAAACTTCAGTCATCCTTGCTCTCTGGGGCCTCGGCTCTGCTGCAGGTCCTATGCTCGGGTCCCATGCCCCCTCCCTGCGCCTTGTGGAGTCTCCCTGTGGCTTCCGTTGTGGCTTCTGTCCGTGTAGCACCATGCTTGCCACACCCCGGCCTTCTAGGTCTTGTCTGGGTTTGGTTGCTCCAGGTGAGAGGGTGATGGGCCCTGTCATCTTGGGGTAGGTGAGGCCTTGTCAGGCACTCTCTTCAGAGGCTGTGTTAGAGAAACAAGATAGGGAAGAAAAATGCTGTCTGTTGTCCTGGCCAGACATCATCAGCAGGCTTCCCTCCTCAGGCCAGAGCTTTTGTCATGTGAGGAAGTTGCCCAGTTGGTCTAGGACTATAGAAGGCCACAGGCAGGAAGGTCGCTGGTGGCCTCTCTACTTCACAGAGGAAGGTGAGCAAGTCACACTCTGCAGTAGCAGGTTTTTAAAAAATCGCTGAATTGTGCTGACTGGCATATCCATTGTGAGTGGATATGTTTTCCTTTTGCAATAATTTTGGCTACATTAAATTCGTTTTGTTAACATCTTCATTACTGCCTTTTCAGTTTCAGTCGGGATTGATTATGAACAAAGTGCTGTGATTTTGACTATTCAGACGAGCAACTGCATCAAGCCAGTGCGTTGCTGGTTTTATAACAAGCATGGAGTCCATGCATCTCTCAGTAACATCTGCAGGAGCAGGCGGTGCTGACTGGAGGAGCTGGCCACCAGGAAGGGGATTACCAAGTGCCACTCAAAATTCAGTTTGAGCAGAGAGAGAGAATTGAATTTTTTGGTTTGTTTGCAGAAATTTCCAGGCAGCCCGATCCTTTTCAGAGCAGAGCAAGGAAGGGGCATGATTGTGGAGCAATCAGCCTGGCCTTCTCCAGTGTGCTATCAGGACACACAGACCTTGATGTGCTCTGTTCACTTAGAGGGTCTCCAGGGTGACAGGCATGGTCCTAGGCTTTGGGACTTGGCCGGTCCTGATGGTGCTGCTGTGTCTGCATGAGATCTCCCCAGGGGAATGAGGGCTTTAGGGCCACACTACCCTCTCCCTCCCACCTGCAGTTTGGCAGTGGCTGGGGCACTGGGAAAGGCTTGCTCTAGGGGGTTGACCCCACCAGATGCTTGAAAATTCCCAGCCCTGCTCTTGCAGTATGGTGCTGCTGCTGGTAAGTAGGTTTTGTCTGAGTGCAGAATCACCTGCCTGCCCTGGGAGATGTGTTAGAAGGTCACGGTGGTTCTGATTTTCAGGGGAGCCCCTAGTGGGAAGCTAGAGGTCTTCCCAGCAGCTTGGGGCCTGGTGCTCTGTGGCCACTGGCGGCCAGAGCTGCTTGGGTGCTAGGCAGAGGCCTTGTGGACTGGACAGCCTCACCCCTGCTGCCACCCACTTACTCTTTGAAGTTTTTTCCCACAGCAAGGGTTCTGGGTGATCCTGCATGTGGCTGCCTCGTTGCGGGGCACGTGCTGTGTGGTGAGGCCGTGGCCCTGTGAGGCTGATACTGTCTGGACCTGGACCTACCCCGGTGGCCATGTGCTGCAGCCATGCAGTGTTTCCACTCAGGTTCCTCCTCCGGGTCCTCTGGACAGCTTGTAGCCAGGTGTGGGTGAACCCCAGCCGCAGAACACACAGAAGCCTGCAGTGGAGTTCGAGAGCGCAGTCCTAGGGAGGGGCTCCCTGGTGTGCATGACTGAGGGTCAAGTGGCCTCTTGAAAAGCTTTGCTGTGTGATCCGGGGTCCCCAGGGCTTGTGGCCCACCTGAAAGGAGCATCCTGGCACACAAGATTCTTGGCCCCTGGGCACTGCCCCAACTCTAGGACTGCCGTGGCCATGTTTGGTTTAGGTCTTGGATGGAGAATAAATTTTCCTGTCCAGTTTTCCAGGCTGTCTTTTCCCTGGCAGTGAGGGGAATTTTACTGAATTTTCCACCAGAGAGGTGAGGCTTCCTGCCTGCATCGCCTCTGGAGGGGTGCAGAGTGAGGAGCCTTTCTGTGGAATTGAGGGGGAGGCTGGGCCAGAGAGGATAGGGGCAGGCAGGGTGCTGTTGTGCCTCACTTTCTTCCTGAGTGTGAGCCCCAGAGGGGAAGGCCTGGCTGGTGGCTCTCTGGGGTAGGATGCACTGAACAAACAACTGTCTGTTGGAGATGTGACAGTGTGTTTGGCATAGTCAGCACAGCAAGGCCTCGCTGGTGCTACAGGGAGTCCAGGAGGCCCCGATCTGTCCCAACTGCCTGGTGTTTCAGTCTGGGTTGTCTTTTTGTAAGGTGCACAGCTCAGTGGCCTCTCATTCTTGGGCGTGACAGTGACTGCTGACCTAGAGAGTGGCACTTGTTGAGAGGTGCAGGGCCTTGTTGCTGGTGAGCCTGCACACGCACTGCTGGTGGAAAGCAGCTCTGGGGAGTGGCCCGGCATGTCCTTGGTACTTCCTTCCTTCTTGTCTGTTTGCTCTGAGCTGGCCTTGGGCACGGGGGTGGGGGGGTGGGGCTGGTGATGGGGGTGAGTGGGGACTGTGATGCGCCCTGCTCTGGGACCAGGGCTGGTGGGCAGCTGCTGCAGCCTCTGCACAGGAACAGTGCGGGTCCCAGGTGCTAGTGCTTCCTTTGCAGACTTACTTGCCTGTCTCCCCAATGTCCCCCAAGGAGGGGGCTTGGCTCACGGGAGGCTGAGCTCATGCTGGATGCGGCTGACTGGTTGTGTGGGGGCTCTGGGGCAGGACTTCTGCTCCCTGCAGGTCTCCATGGAGGGCTGGGAGATGCTGGTCAGCAGCCCCTTGACGGCGCCTGTCTTGGATCAGCCTAGTGACCTGGAACATCCCTTGCTGGTCCCTGGGGGGTCTGGGGGTGTGTGGCTGAGGTCCTGGGCTTTGTCCTGTTTATGGGAGGTCAGGCGGCCACAGGGGCGGAGGGGCCTGGAGGAGGCCTGTGGCCCCCGGCAACCATCTGGTGATTGTAAAAGGGGCAATCCACATTTTTGTAGGGGGATGGTGGGGAACAAACTGCAGACTGTCAGGAGGGCCCTCTGCCCTCATGCCTCCCAGTCAGACACCTCTGCAGCCTCTCTCTGTGTCTGTGCTCAAGGTGAAAAGTTCAGGCTGTCCCTCTGCAGAGGGCTGGAGGTGGGGCAGCCCGCACAAGGAATTTGGCCAGCCACTTGCCACAGTGCTTCCTCCTGGTGCCCTGTATCCTGGGGGCTGGGCCAGACCTGTATGGGATGGATGCATTCAGCCCCTCCTGGACAAGGAGAGGACAGAGACCTGGCGAGAGCTGGCGAGGGGTGGGGTGGGCCTGGTGCCCAGTTCAGGCCCTGTGAGGGTTTGGCGGTGAGCATTCTTGGGCCCACCCCTGTACTCAGGGCTGCACTGGGGACCTTTCATTGGGGACAGGTTCTGGAGGTGCAGGACAGGTCTGAGAAGAGCAGCAGCCAGGAGACACCCTTACCCCCAGCTGAGTCAGCCCTCTGCCACCCTGCTTCCCAGAAGTCCCTGGAGGACCAGTGCGTGTGGCTGTCATCTGTTTCTTTTTGGAGCTCTTTAAAGAGGTCTCACGAAGGATCCATCCCTTGAAGGGTCCATCCCTCGATTTTTCAGCTTGGGGATTAGGATTTTGGAGTAACACAAGCTGTGGTGTGCACCACAAGACACCCCTGCCTGACCCCAGCGCTCACTTTCCTGCCAAGCTGCTGTCCCCCATGAAAATTTTTGTCCCTTTGAGCCTGCCAGTGCCTGGGGCCAGGGAGAGATCTGTGTGCTCATCCCTGGAGGGGATCCTGGCAGCTTCAGGGGACCACCCCCCAGGGGCCATTAGCTGTCCCTTCCCCCACATCCAGGCTGATTGCTGAGGGTTCAGGGAGGTGCCTGACATTCATGCCAGTGACTGTAGGGCTGGTATCCTAGGGGGGACTAGCTGGTAATGTTTCCGGAGAGAGGTATTTGAGATGCACCTGGTCCCCAGAGCAGCAGGCAGCATATGCTTGCAGTTTCCTCTGTTTCTTTTTCTCTGGGGAAAGGTACTTACCCCCATGGTTGGTGCAGGCAGCCAGGCCCAGGGGAGTGGGCTGGAGGCCAGGGTGCCCACCTGCCCCCAGGCCACTGCTCTCTCCAGGCCTGCACCCTGCGAAGAGGCTGGTTCAAAAGGTCACTGCCCTGATTTTTATTGCCATCTCTTGTGTTCTCATGACCCCTTGCCCTCCGCACAGACTGGCGGACTGGAGCGTTGACAGAGCCCAGCTATCGGGATTGGAAATGTTTGGGAAAGACTACGTCTCAAGCAATCAAGGTTAAATATTTCAGTAGCTTAAAATACTTTGTTAAAAATCTGGCAAATATGTGTGAATATTTATGAGTTTAGGGCAGACAGAAACTGGATCCTCTTGAAGCTGTGCTGCCTCCTGACACAGGAACATGGTCCTCTTGTGGCCTGGTGGGTCTCTGTCCCGCCTGCTGCACAGGCCCTCCTGGCACCTGTGGCACAGGGAAGCCTTCTGACTTCTTGGTAAATAATGGAGGTTGAGTTGGCCCACGTTTTGCATTGTAGTCCTCCACCTCAAAAGCCCAGTATTAAGAGCACTTGGCCTCGCAGGCCCACACCGGACTTCTCTGTCTGTCCCCCGCAGTGTTATCAGTTGTGTGCCTGCCCCTTGCTGTCAGTGTGGACCTTGTTCTCCAGGCCTGTGGTGGACACTCACAGTGTCTTCCTCCAGTCCATGCATCCTGCCCCCACTCCCGTATCCCCAGCCTCTCACGCCTGTTGTGTTGGGGGTGTGCTTCTTCCCAGAGAGTGGGAGGTGGGAGCCAGGTCTTAAATCAGGGAAACTGTTCCAGCAGGAGCGAAAATAATCAGCTGGCTGGAGAGACACCTGAAAACACAGGCTATTTGCTCCTCTATAAAGACATTTGTTATGTCACCACCACAGTCAAAGTACAAATGTCACAGGGCCCTTTTTTTGTGACCCCTGAAGCCATTTGGTCCTTTATCTTGGCAGCAAGTGAAGGCGATTCCAGCCAGTGCGGGGACACACCTGGGATATCTGGCCTCAGCATTCCCATGCTGTTAGCTGGGGAGTGGGCCTGGTCCCCCAGTCCCTGTTCCTGCCAGGACACAGGCTGTGGAGGTGCGCGGATGAGGACTGGTTCTGTGACCCTGCATCCATGGGCGCCAGAAGGTGGGTTGTCCTGCCTCCAGACCTACAGTGTGGGGCTTGGCAAGGCAGGGAGGTGACATAGCTCCCGTCTTCTTCGTTTTGCCTGCATCAATGATGATGTCCAGGCTCTACCTCCTTTGGAATGGGTGGGCTGGGGGACATGGTGGCAGGTGGCCTTCTCAGCCTGGTGACCTGGGCTGCTGTGAGCGCTGGGCCCTCAGTGAGTGTGTCAAGTGGGCAGTGAGAACCTGCAGCTCTGGAGAAGCGAGGAGGCCTTGTGAGGAGCCCTCGCCCTGGGACCTCTCCCAGCTCCATCAGATTGGGCAGGGGTATGGGGTGGGTGGTCAGGGCCCCTGGCAGCTTCTCTGGAGAGCCATGTGGGCCTGAGGTTGTACAGGGGGTTGGGCTGCCATGCAGAAAGTCCTGAATCCTCTGTCTTGTAGCCTTAGCGCTCACAGGGGTGTGGGATGTGCGGTGCAGGGTCGGCAGCTCTGGGTTTTGAACCCCAGCTCCCAGCAATACCAGGTACATAGAAAGCACTTGTGTCCAAGCATGGCCCGGTCAAGTGGGGTGCACCCAGGTGGGTGGAACATTTCACCTGCATGGCTGGTGACCTTGAAAGGATAACCTCTAGGTCGATAGTATTCACTGAATACAGACAGTTGTCTTACTTTATGAATTTTTTTTTCTTCTTCTTCCCAGTGTCAGGCTTTGAACATAGGGCTTTTGCACTGTGCTACGTCCCAAGCTCAGGTTTTTTTTTTTTTTTTTTTGAGACAGGGTCTCACTATGTAGTTGAGACTAACCTGGAACTCACTATGTTGTAGCCTAGGCTGGTCTCAAACTCACAGTGATCCTCCTGCCTCAGCCTCCTGAGTGCTGGGATTACAGGCATGCACCACCACACCCAGCTCCAAGCTCAGTTTTTAATTTAAGACAGGGTCTTGCTAAATTGCAAACTTGGCCAAGCTGGCCTGGAACTTGTAACCCTCAGTCTCTCAGAGTGCTATGATACCAGGCATGGGCAACCATACCCAGCTAACTTTGCCAGTTCTTAAGCCTGTCAGACCTCTGTGGCTCCTGCCTTTGCATTGACTTCCCCCCACCATGTTTGTGGGTACACCTACAGGTACAGCAGGGCTGGCCCATCGGGTAGCATAAGGTCTGCCTTGTGGTGGCCCTAGGGTGTCCTTCTCTTCAGCCTAGCCCTAGCTCAAGGGTGAGGAGGCCAAGTTCCATTGTTAAAGGGGCAATGTAAAGGCAGCCAGCCATGTGGAGGTGGCCAGGTGGGCTCTGGGCAGGGACTTGGCTGTGCTGGTCTTCTTGGCTTCCTGCCTCCCTCATCTTGACCTGCTTGGTGCTCACAGGGAGCACCTTAGGCGCTGTAACCAGCCCTGTGCTATATGACTCCTGTAGGGTGAGGTGACAGCAGATTGAGGCTTCTGTCCCAGCTATGGCCATGTGCATTGTGGTAAGTGGACAGCCAGACCTCCCTTGGGGACCTCCTGGCGTGTGTTCGTTCCCATGCCACAGCAGGGCTGTGGCCCATGTCTTCCTGCAATGCCTTCCAGAAGTGAGACTCCAGCTCGGGCCCTCAGGATGCGATGGACATTGCCAGTGGCCCAGGGGGCCAGCCTGTGGGACTTGAAAAGGTCTCTGGACATTGTGACTCAGGAGGAGGTCCAAGATAGGAGTGAGGTGGCAGGTGGGGCTGGGGCACCTCACAGGAGCAAGGGAGGGAGGCCAGGATTGCCCTGTGCTCAGGCATCTTCAGTCACTTTCCCTGGCTGGTGTGTGACAGCATTGCTCACTCCTGGCTCAATGGGGGCAATGGCCTTCGAGGGTGGCGTGTGCAGCCTCGTCATTTGGGGACTTGCTGTTCTCTGTTTTCTGTCGTGGCCATTGCAGTGTCCCTGGGCTAGAGCAGGCTGATGTTGTGCACCATGGGCTTCTGCACTCGCAGGGGCTGCTGGTTATGCAGAGGGCCTCAAGAGGGCCTGGCCTAGGGGATGTTGGTGTGTCCTGATGCTGGTCTGCCCCGAGCCCTCGGAGTGTTGGCTGGCAAGGGCTTCCCTTCACCTACCTGTCTTGGTGCTGTGGGGCTGCCTTGAGATGCCTGGGAGCCATAGAGCTCCCAGGCTTCCTGCATCTGGATGATTGGTGGTCACAGCTCTGACCTTTTCAGACCTGAGCCATGGGCAGGGGGGAGGGGACAATCTGTTGGATACTCCTGGTTCTTTAAATGCTCCCTAGACCTGGCTGGACAGATGGCTTTGGCCCCATGGGAGGGTCTCTGTGGGCCCCAGCCACCCCCTCCTGGCCCCCCAGGGCACCACAGCTCTCAGCCAGGCCCTTTGCCCACAAGCCTGTGCAGGAATTTTTACAGCCCCAGTGCCTGGAGGAAAATGGGGGCTGGTCTTAGGGGAGCCACCCTTCATGGCTCCTCGTGTTTTGGGGGCGGCTGAGAATGGAGGGTTTCTCTGTGCTCTTCAGGCTGGCCTTTCCTTGGTTCTTCCTGAGCACAGGGAGGTTGTTGGGCTGTGGAGAACATCAGTGTCCCTTAGGAGCTGGCAAGTGCTGACCTGGCACAGACTGGGGCTCTGTACCACTCTGTTCACAGGCTGGCAGGGCCCAGGGCCCGTGTTCTGCTGGGTTCATAGGGAAGGGAATGGACACCCCTGCTTCATGCACACAGAACTCCCTGTCCCACCTAGCTCTCCCTGAGGTTCTGCAATCAAAGGTCCTTTCTCAGCGCAGGCTGTGCATCCCCACAGGTAGGGCTGGGGCCAGGTTCTGAAGGCCCAGTCCCCAGAGCAGGTCTGAGAGGAGCACCGGCCTGCTGCTTTCCATCTGCCAGGGGGAACCTGAGGCCCACGGAGGTGGTTGTAGGCTGCATGGACGCCCCCTTCCCTGCGATTGTGCCTTGTACCCGGGAGAGGGCAGAACATCAGAGTGTGGCTGTCCTCTAAAGTCTGGCTTTGCTCCTTAGGTAGGTGCTTTTGATTTGGGGCTTTGGTGGAGATCAGACCCTGGGTCTTAGGTATGCTTGGCAAGGCTCTACCTCTGAGCTACACCTGGCCCTCCTTTCAAAGCCTCCTGTTGACCTGGGGTCCCAGCAACATGAGAGGAGAAGCCTCTCCCCCTACAGCCTCAGTGCTAACATGAGGAGGACACATGGTCCCTGAGGCGTTCCCTGGTCCTCAGTTCTGGTGGCCCTTGCTGTTTTGTATGGGCAGATGAGCTGCAGAGCCTTTTTGCCTGCAGGTCCCCTGCAAGGGCCAGGTATTAGGAGGGCTTGGGACCCAGGAGGGTGCCAGGGGCCTCTGGGAGGACTCTTATATCTCCTAGGCTTGCACTGGTGGGAATTGGGGCTTCTAGCTCCCAGCCACACTGTCCGCAGTTGTGGTGTTGGTGCCTTCGACTGGAGAGTTGCGGGCTTTGACTGTATCTCTGTTGCACACAGCCATGAGTGGTCCTGGTGTGGGAGGCCTCAGCATGGGCCGTGGACACACCACTGCTTCAGCTGCTGCAGCCCATAGCTGTGCCCTTCTTCTCGTGGGTGCCCACTTGGGTCTCACAGCAGCCCCAGGCTCTGAGTGGGTGTCCTTGAGCATTCTGCCCCATGTCCTGCCTGCATAGGTGGAGGCCTGCTTTGTTTAGGCCAGCCCGGGTTGGGCTCCTGCCACCCTTGACTGCTTGCTGTGTCTGTCCTAGGAGTTGTAGGTATAGGTCCTCTCTGCAGTGTGCAGGCCCCTGACCCAGCCATTTGGCAAGCTTCCACAGGAGGATTGCAAATTCTGTGCCTCCTGAGCAACTCATTGAGACCGTGTATGAAAAAATAAAAAGGGATGGCGCTGTAGCTCAGTGTAGAGCATCACAGCATTGGTTCCATCCCTAGTACTTCCTGTCCTCCCCACCCAGAACCCATAAGGCTGGGGGGTGTGGCTGAGGGGAAGAACATGTGTGTAAATCCCAGCTTTGATTTCCAGCCCTGCAGAATAAATGAATAAATAAATAAATACACTTGATCTTAGCCAAAAGGCTGAGAAGCAATAATAAGTAAGTAAATATATATATGGGATATATATATATATATACATACACGTTTGTTTGTTTGTTTGTTTGTTTTTTGAGACAGGGTCTCACTATGTATTTGAGACTGACCTGGAACTCACTATGTAGCCCAGGCTGGCCTCGAACCAACAGCGATCCTCCTGCCTCAGCCTCCTGAGTGCTGGGGATTACAGGCATGCACCACCACGCCCAGCTAAAATAAATATATTTTTTTAAATGTGAAGTAAAAAGTCCTGTAAGTAGGCCACCCATTGGCAAGCCTGGCCAGGAACATGTGTACCAGAACGCAGCAGGTGCCAGGCCACAGTGTCTCACGAGGTGCTATGGCTTTAGCTCTCTTGGGTGAGTGGGGCGGGTGGCAGCCATCTGCCTGCAGACTGGAAGGGAAGGGTGGCGAGGTTGGCTCACCTTGAGCAGGACAACCCCTGCCTGCCTCTCATGCCCATGGGGTCAGCTGTTCTCAGTTCATGCCCCTGTTCCTTTCCAGCTCAATGGGGGCAGGCTTGGGGATGTCCAGCAGACCTCAGCTTTGCTGAGCCCCACAGCTGGAGGCCACATGTACCCCAAGGAGTCACAGCCCTGCCTGGTCAGTGCCATGTCAGGTTGACTTCTACCTGCCAGAGCCAGGTGGAAGGCTCATCCTCCTAGATATGTGGCCAGAGCACAATGTCCCACTGTGCCCAAGGCAGGAATGTGTCCTCTCAGGGTCCCAGGCTGCCCTACCAGGAGAGGAGGTAACTGGGCGACTTATAAGGGAGAGGACTTTTGTGCACAAGGTCTCCAAGATGGTATCCAGGAGCAAGGGTGGGCCTCTGGCTGCTGCTGTGGGCCCAGGAGAGGCCTGGTGCTCCTGCCTTTGTTCTCTGGCTCCGGGAGCAGCCAGATGCTGTCACTTGGACTGGAAGTATGCTGCCTCCTCCTCCCTTGGCCAGATCACAAGCTCCATG